CACACACACTCACACACGCATTCATAAATGTGCAATTAATTGATTAATTAATTATCTAAGTCCGAAAATTAATGTTATCTTGTGAAAAATAACCGGATTATCAGGGCTACTACTGGTACTGAGTTAAGGTAATTTGTGTTTCTATATGCATTTTACATTTCGCTACCTTAGATTTACAACATTTGAAAAGGAAGGAAAGAAGGAAACATGAAAGATTTACAAAATAAGAAAAAGGAAAAGGAAAGATTTACACAATTTGACGAAGAATGAAAAATGGAAATGGAAAGATTTACAAAAATTTGATGTAAAATAATTATGTTGAGTTTCACAACATGTCACGCTTTTTGGAATGCAATTCTTTGAAAAACGACTCCTAATAACCTCATGATTTTTATAGAGCAGATAGAACATTTGTTCTAGACCCCATGGTCTAGTACCGTAACTCAAAATGGCCAAAAATGTCAGCTAGAACTTTGTAATTCTAAGGTAGCAATTTCTTTCAATGTTATGTATTATTGGATTTTATTTTCTTATTAGTTCTATAAATATTTTGTTGTGCTGTTGTTTTTATCCACCACATCTTGAAGACCGGTCCAACAAAATATTATGTCTCACATGAATCCTCTCCATGGCGCAAAAAAAAGAAGCGTTGGAGATGCTGATTTCAACTGTTTATGATATTTAATTGTCACTGTTTTCAAAGTAGTAGGTGAAACAGACAAAGAAAAAAAAGGAGTGTATGGATTGCCCATGGTGGTTTTGTTGCAACAATTGGTACGAATTCGGTCACTGGTTTTCTGTTTTCGTTCTCTCTTCACCATCTAATTTTCTCCCCCCCCCCTCTCCCCACAAATGTGAAACAAACTAAAAAAAAAAGGAGTGTATGGGTTGTTTCTGGTGGGTTTGTTATCACAACTGGTACGAATTCGTTAATTCATTTTCTATTTTCGTTCTCTCTTTACCATCTCGTCTTCTTCCCCCCCACACCGAAAGGTGAAACAAACAAATTTAAAATTAGTGCATGGACTTATTATTTATTTTTGATTGGTTGACACATCTGATACAGATTCATCGACTTATTTTCTATTTTTGTTCTCTCTACTCCTTCTCTTCCCCCTTAAAAACAGTTCCGGTCTACGCCCTGGAACCGGCCAACGCAACAGGGTGTGTGGAAGGCTATCAGAGGTTCCGTGACAGCTGTTACCGCTACAACAAAGATCTCTATACCTGGGACCAAGCAGAGAAGCTGTGTCAAGTGGAGGGCTCACATCTGGTCAGCCTTTCAGACAGGTATGTATTGGAGAGAGAGAGGGAGAGAGAGAGAGAGGGGGGGGAGAGAGAGAGGGAGGGAGGGAGGGAGGAAAGGAGGGAGAGATAAGGAGAGAGAGGGAGAGAGAGAGACTGGGAGGAAAAGAGGGAGAGAGAGGGTGAGAGAGAGAGGGAGATGGAGAGACGGAGAGAGATGGAGAGGCAAGAAGAGAGAGAGAGAGGGAGATGGAGAGACGGACAGAGATGGAGAGACAAGATAAGAGAGATAGAGAGAGAGCGAGAGATATATAGAGAGAAAGAGATGGAGATATAGAAAGTAGAAGAGGGGGAGTTTTAGGGTGGGTTTGAAAGATGGAGATATGGAGAGAGAGAGAGAGAGAGAGAGAG